AAGGCTAGAGCCGCTGAACCGAACCGACCAAATTACTCATCAGTTTCACGTCCCTGATATTCACATACATATCGACCCCTTTGCGAGAAATTATCGTATTTGATATTTTTTCGGAATTGACTTTTGACGCAAATTTTTTCTACACCAACAACGTATCACACGGTAACACATAGTAGCTGATGTCCCTATAATAATAATAACTAGAGTGCCAGTTACTGTCAAAATTCGACAGTTTTTCTAGTTTTTAGGAGCCTTAACTTAACACGTAGCAAAACTTATACAGTACAAATTAACTTACCGGAACATCTTCTGCTTTGGAACTAAAACAAAACTAACATTTTTTTATCTTAGAAGGTCTTTGGACTTCAGCAGAACCTAGAATTGACCCGATACATTCCATTTTATCGATAAATTTCGATGATTTGATACATATTGATAGTTCGATGAATTTCAAGAACACTAAAATTCGATAACTTAACAAAATTCGTTAACTCGACCAATTTCGATAACTGTAAAATTCGATGGCTCGATAAATTTCGATAACTCAAAAATGTAAAAACTTTGGATACCTTTATAAATTTTTACTTTCGACATATCCACATTTTTCGAAAACTATCTAAACATTTTGATAACTCGTTACACTCTGTTAACACGATAAAATTCGATAAGCAGTGATAAATCGATAAGTTTATATAACTTTGAAATTTCGATAAATCGATATATTTTGAAAATTCCATAAACTTCGCTTTGTTGAACCAACCAATTTCAGTAGATCAATAATTATCGATAATTCTGTAAGTTAAAAGAACTCCATGCATTACGACACCTCGATATATTTCGTTAAGTCTATAAATAATGATAATTCAATAAATATCGATAACTTGATAAATTTCTTTAACTTGACAAATTTCGTTAATCCCACACGTTTTTATAGCTCGATAACTATCCGTAAATTTGGACAACTAAGTTTCTGTGTCTATAATTTTCGACAACTCAGTAAACATTGATCAGTTTGAATAATTCGATACGTTGCGATAACTTAATAAGCATGGATAAATTTCGATAAGTATAAACTTGGATGATTTCATAAATTTCAGTAACCTTTATGGCTGATTTTATTTCGATTCCTATCGGAAAATTTCAACTATGTCAACCTAATTCTTATGTATTTCTCATTGTCTCCATTTTCGCCTTTATCTCCATTTTCGTCTTTATCTTCACTTTTGCCTTTTTTTGTCTTCAGCGTTATCACTTGTTTCTTCATCTTCATATTTATCTTTATTTCAAAGTTTAATTTTAAATACGAAGTAAAACAAAATGCGAAACAGCTTAAATTGAACAGGTTGCAAAAACAACCATACACAAATATGGAAATTTTTTAACGACGATTTTCAACCAATTTCGAAACTATAAAAACTCTCCTCATCTACAGAAAATTACCTTTCCAACGGTGTTTTTGGTTTTGAAATCGATAACTTTACCTTGGTCTTCATCTTTGTTTTTATCCTTCACATCTTTGCTTATATCCTTTTCTTTTTCTATTCACGTAGATGAGATGAGGTGCGATGACGTGATAAGATGTGACGTGATTTTATGTGATGTGATAGGATGTAATGTCATGTGTTGTCATATCCTCTGATGTCATGTCATATGATGTCATATCATGTGATGTCAAGTCATGTGATGTCATGCCATATAATGTGATGTCAAATCATGTAATGTCATGTCACGTGATATCGTGTGATGTGATATCATATTGTATCATGTGATGTCTCTTCATATCATGTGATAAAATGTGATGTGATGTCATGTAATGTGATCACATTCCATGTTCCGATTAGTATATCGATAACCCTGTTGATAACTGTGTCGATAAAAATACCGATAACAATATCCATAAACATATAGAAAAATACAACGATAGCAAAATCGATTAATTCATCGATAAATATAACAATCATCAGTATCGATTATTGTACATATCGATAACAATATAATCTACTAAATCGATAACAAAATCAATTATTTAATCGGTTATTATACGGATAACAATATCCATTATTGTATCGATAACAATATTGATTATTATATTGATTATTATATCGATTACAATAGTGGTTATTTCATCAATAACAGTATCGATAACAATATCGATTATTTTATAGATAGCAATATCGATTATTATATCGATAAGAATATCGAGTTTTATATAGATAACAATATCGATCTTCATCCTCATCCTTTTCTTCATATTTATCTTTATTTTTGCATACTCCTCTTCACCTTTACCTTAAAGTGTTTAAATTTACTTCGATCTTCGTTTTTGCCTGTACCTCTAGGTATCTTTGTTTTTGTTTTTATTATCAAACCGCTAAACCGCTGAGAACTATTTCCATGTGCATTATTCCCCTCGAATTTGACAATTTACTCCCAACCAACCAACTGCCGCTAAAGAAGTTTCACTTCATAAATTCAAGAAATGTTCTTACCCTTTTAGTTACCCTAATTCTTATGTATCTGTCATTGTCTCCATTTTCGTCTTTATCTTCACTTTTGCCTTCTTTTTTTTTGACTTCATCGTTATCATTTATTTCTTCATCTTCATATTTATCTTTATTTCAAAGCTTAATTTCAAATGTGTAGTGAAACAACAGGCGAAACATGTCAAATTGAACATGTTGCAGCAACATGTATACACAATTCGAAAATGTTTAAACGACGGTTTTGGCCGTAATTTTCAAGCAATTGTGAAACCATAAAAACTCTGCTGATCTACGGAAAAATGCGTTTCCAACGGTGTTCTTGGTTTTGAAATCGGTTCGGTAGAATCGCCAAACGAACGGAGACAAAGTTTATGTTAGCGTATTAATATATAGATAATAATAGATTGGCGCTTACACATATGTTAGTGTTTGGCTGAGCTTCTACTCCGATTTGCAGTGTGCGCCTTTATCTTGTCACACAAAGAGGAGGGACCTACAGGTTTACACCGACTCCGAACGGCGACTGTATTTTTTTGAGAAGCTGCTTTTCATGCCAGAAATACACTCGGAGGTTTGCCATTGTCTGCCGAGTGGCGACCGCTGTTTAAAAAAAAAAAAACCCATTTTTTTTGTTTATTTTTTTATTTTTTTATGTTGGTCGGAAATCGGGCTTGAACTCAGACCCTACCTAATGGAAGCGCGCAATATAAATCACTACTACATATAGGCCGCCAGTTCCGTTTAAATGCTTGTGGATGAAAATATCAAAAGTATTTTGTGCGCACTTAGTAAAAAATATAAACTTTTTAAGCGAAAAGCACCACCGACTTCAATTCTCATATTATAATTCAGGAGCAGCTTGATCTAATGAACGGATCTTAAGCAAATAAGTATGGGACCCTCTTGAAGTAACACCTTTCCGATACAAAAAAAAATTATAATTATCGAAATCAGTTCACGTGATCAAAAGTTATGCGATAACATACATAAAAAAATATGCCAGCGAACTGATTACCTCCTCTTTTTTTTTGATGTTTCTCTCCTGTAAAATTTGGTTTCTGGCACATAGTATAATTTCGCGAAAAGGGGTCGATATGTATATATATAATAGATATTAAATCGAATATAATTTTAGATTTTAAAATTAATTTCACTAAAAATCGTTTATTCCAAGCTATATTATAAGAATGCTGAAAATTAGTATACAACCTATAATTTTTCTTAAAAAAACAAAAACTACTACCTCTTTGCTAGCGTTATTTTTAGTATCCTTGCTGTGTCTCTCTACCTTATGCTCTCTCCACGCTTTTGCTAAACACACAATTACCACCTTACAATTACAACGCATTCGACTAGAATGCGCTAGCGCTCCTTTGGCTCTTCTCTTTTGCAAAGCATTCGTTGCTATTTCTTTTTTTCTTGGACACAAACGTAGTAGACAAAAGAAAATTAAGTAAATCGTTTGATACCAAAATTTTTTGCTTTTTTGTTGCTCAGGAATATACAGGAATTTTTTTTTTTGCTTGCACTGCTATTGGATTTTATAAAATATGACGGAAAAATCTTGTATAAGTGCAAAACTATTGAAAACTTTTTTAACGATTTCTTTTGGTATATTTAAATGGCTTTTTCTACATTTTTATCAGTTAATCGAAGTAGACGACCCATTTTTGTTTAACTTTTTTCTCGCTTTTTTCACACTTCCCAACCCACTTTGAACGCCATTACATGTACATACATGTATGTATAACGAACACTACCATCTCCACCAACAAACATTCCGTCTACTTTATACCCTTCACCGCCCAACACACACACATAAAACTTTCACACGAACACATTTTTACACTTATAGGTGCTGACCATTAACTCCACCTGGGCATTTTTACGACACGCGCAAACAAAACACACACATACACTAACAAATACAAAATGTATACTGACATTAGCCAGGGAATGGGAACAGCGACGGCGGCTGCCGTGGCTATCGGTGTTGTTACTCATACGCCCCGGTGACCGCTACGAGGCATTAAAACCCACCCGCGCATTTGATGTTGGGTGCAGCACGAGCAGCACAAAAAATACCGTAAAGTTGATGTAGTAGTTGTCTTACGCATTTACATATATAGACAAGCACACACACACATGCAACACATTAGTATGTACATAAGCCACGCGCTGATTGCAGCCACTTTTGTTAGTGTGTTTGTGCGCTTCGCTTCGTTAATATCCATTTCACACACCCAAAAATGGGTTTTTGGTGACTCGATTCGCTTGCACACATTGTTTTTGCTTAACAATCGGTGTTATTGTTATTGTTTTACTTGTGTTATTGCCGCTGCAGCATTGTTTTCGTTGTATTTTCCCTACTTTATTGCTTGATTATATAAAATTTTGTGATATTTTTATGGCAACTTAATCCAGCTGAAAAAATAAGAATTTTCGAAATATTCGCAGCGGCACTTTCATACATTCCATATATGATTGGCATTTTTTACAAATACTTAATATGCTTACTTTTTAAATAACTGCAAAAAATGCTAAAGTACGCAGTATATGAGAAAAGCAAGAATTTTCTTCACATCACTGAAAATTTTCTGCTTAGCAGCTACGAAGTAGTCTTGCAAACTGATAACCAAGCACAATTATAGCAATACAGTTCAATATGCGTAACTTTTGCACAAAGTTATTTATACTATTATTATTTTAGAAATTTTTTTCTGATTTTGCTAGCACTTAGTATCTACACTTTCAGCCCATTCGACGTTGGGCCGTAGTTTAGTCCGCGTCACTTGCTGCTGCTGCGGACCGCAACTTAATTCTCCGCAATGCACGAGACTATTACTCGCCACGATTGGCGAAAACCAATCCCAGCAGCAGACAGCAGCACACAAGTGTATTCCTTTTTTCTTGTAGCAACGTATGCAAGCAAAAAACAAACAAACACAGTATAAACCACAAAAAGTGGAACCATGCTCAAAAGAGAATTGGCGAGAATACACGAAAAACGTTGCAAGACCGAAAACTCTTGGCTTTGTAACACCACAACAAACCGAAGAACCAGCCAAGCAGTTGAGGGCGCCGGCGTTGTGGGGTAGTCGGCGCAATTGTCGGCCACTCGGTTAGTCGGTTGACAGTTCGTGTCCGCACACATGACACATTTGATAGCTTTTACAACTACGCAAAAGCTTAGAAAAGCCCAATGGTATGTTCATAAGCTTGTTTGTTTTGAAAGTGAAAGGAATATAAAAGCCAGAAGAAGGTCCAAAGCAACGCCGAAAGGAGTGTGAAGTGATTTGAATTTTGAGTGTTGAGCATTTTCCATGCAATTGAAGCATTAAATTATTAAATTGTAAAAAAAAAACGGAAAATGTGCAAGATGACGAGCGAGCTTTGATCGTTTGCAGTTACTCAGTACAACGAGTTTCTTGATAAAAAAAAACATTGAGTGTTCTGAATGTGATACAATTTCTAAATTCTAATATCCTGTATTGTGAGGTGATTGAGGACTTAAACGACCTTTTAACTTGAATTCGTATAATGNCATTGAGTGTTCTGAATGTGATACAATTTCTAAATTCTAATATACAGGATGCGTGAGGTGATTGAGGACTTAAACGACCTTTTAACTTGAATTCGTATAATGCTTTGACAATTTATTGCATTTCATTGAAATTTAGAGCCAAGTAAGTGACTTACGGGATATATGTTTGTTAATTCACAAAATCGCCTTCAGCGACAATAAGAGCTTCGATGCTCTGCCAGAATGATTTGCATGCCTGGATCAAATTTTCCTTGTCTAGGAATTTGGCAAATGGAATGACGCCAAAAGACAAAAAAATCTGCTCTGAGAAGCTTTCAAATGTACTAGAGTTCTTGAAAACGAAAAACAAAATTCTGAACATTTTGACAAAAAATATTTATTAAAAAATTATCTATTCCAGATTCACGCAGCATACGAGATGAGGCAAATAAGAAACTGTTTTGAGTAGCTTTTAAATAGTTCTGGAGTTCTTGAAAAGGAAAAATAGTCCTAAGAATTGCCCACACAGTACTCTTTTTTAGGTCGAAAAAGTTTAATGTATAAGAAAAACAAAAATGATTACTGTTCTGAGTAGCTTATCAATAGTTCTAGACTCCTGAAAAAGGGGAAAAAAATTCAGCAAAATTAAACCGAATGAAAAAAAATCACGAAGTTTGAAAAAGTTTCAAAAAATAAAAAATTTAACTGTTCTGAGTAGCTTTCTTAGAGCTCTAGAGTTCCTGAAAAGGAAGAAACGTTCTGCAAATTTACGCCGAAATTTTTAATATATTTTTTTCAAATGTCGACAGTTTAATGGTTTGGAAAAATAAATATTAAAATTGTTTGAGTAGCTCATCGGTACTTATAGAGTTTCTGAAAGGGAAAAAAGTTTGGCAAAATTTATCAAAAAAAAAACATTTTTTTCAAAAAAGTCGAAAAAGTTTAATGGCTGAAGAAAATAAAAATTAAAACTGTTCTGCTGAGTAGCATTTCAATATTCGTGGAGTTCCATAAAAGGAAAAAAAAAGAGTGGAACCTTTCACCGATATATTGACTGATAACGCAATCGATATATTTATACAATTTGTAGTGAATATGTTTATCGATATTGCTATCGATTAATTTATCGATTTAATCTATGTACGAAAAATGCGCCAATTTCAACTTAAGTATGACGATGCAGTAACCGACACTTTTATTGATATATTTATCGGTATTTTTTATCCAATGCTTGATAAACTACACTACTCCTCTTCTGAAAGCCACGAAAATTATTAAAATACGTCAGGTGCTTTTACGTACAGAATTGGTGAGCTATATGTATGTAGGTATATTTGATTCCGAGTCTCAGGCAGCTTAAATTCTTATCCCGATTAGGGCCATCAGCAAGGTACCTGGAAGCTTTAGGGACATGAGGTTGTCGTTCTGACCTTCCGACCGAACTGATCGCCATAGAAACATCTTCAATGTCTCGGATAAGATCGTAGTTTCTGATGACAACAGAAATACTAAACTCTTAAAATCATGCTCCATAGGAACGCATATTTTTGCGAAAAATTATCTGAAATACGATTAGGCATTGATAACCCTGCTTCTTTTACAACAAATTCTATTACTACTTGTTCAAGCCAAGGCACATTGAGCAGATAGTGTCAGTAGAGTAGCTGATTTGATTTTTTTCCCAAATTATTTGGTCTCGATAATGTCAAATATTTTTAAATTCCTCTCACAAAAATTCTAAATTCTTAAAATCTATTTGCATGTGAAGACTTTTTTCATACCAAACAAGCGATTGAATAGCCATTTTTGGAACGTTCGCCCAACTCAGCAGCACTACCACTGAATACGGGGCCTTACAAGGGATGGATAAATGCTTCGAGAAGCAAACATATTTACTAACAAAGAAAGTTCCAACATTTTTTATTTTTGCCAATTTCAATTTTTTATTACGGGTATTCATGAAAACGCGTAAATGCCTCGTAACTGCGTAAACCTCGTAGATAAAGCGAATTTCCATACAAAATTAAGTAAGTTTACGAGGTTGGCATGGTTACGAGGCATTTACGCATTTAGATGAATTGTCCTATCAATTTTTTTTTTTTGTGCATATCAAGGCGAATTAATATAAGGTGATAGCAGGAGTACAAAAACAAAAATTTACATGTATTTTGTTTTTGCTTTGGCGGCATAAACTGTCAAAATCTGTAAGAGTGTGTGTAGAAATTCAAACAAAATTTTTCAATTTGATATCAGAAGCCGTGCGGCGAAACACATCACAAAATCAGCTGAGCTAGTAACACCACCTTATATAAATTCGCCTTGGTGTATTTCATATGACACGCTTTGATTTAGAAGAAAAAAATCAGACCAGTTTTTCACAGTTTCGATACCAGAAGCAACAATAAAATTTACGTAAATGTTGATTTTGCTCCAATGCTCTGTGCCAGCTACCACCGCTATGTGAAAGCATCGTGTTTTAAGAAATTTTTT